CTTTGGAAAACATTGGAGCTTGAGTGACCATGCAAAACGAACTCGCTATCACATCAGATCCTTTAGCAAGCAGCAATGTCTATTCCAGGGGGCGTGTGAGTTGATATGTATCAGTTGTAAGAACCTGGCGATATTACTCTATGGGGATGATTGCCTTGACATAGGCTGCAGCACCTTTCGTGAAGCAGCCCAGAAGACAAAGTGTTCATACTATCGCTTTATATCAACGCTAACTTCTAGAACTTCGAAGCCCTTGTTTGGGACCACAAGACTGAAGAACTTGAAGTGTCTCGCCTTGATCTCATTCAGTCATGCATGTATGCACACTGAGCAAAGAGTAAGACACACAATGTCACGAAGATAAGCTCGTTGTTCTCTCCCACCAACAGCATGTGGAGGCCCTTGCCCAGTAATGAGCAGAAGTGGCATCTAGGACAGCCATCGACAAGCATTTCTAGCACCCCCAACAAGGGATATGGCGGTGACAAAGGATTCTTCACGCGGAAACATGACGATACATCCGAATACCGCTGAGCTGGCCTTCTGCTTCGGGAATGGCCTGCGTCTCAGACAACTGACTCGTCTGTGATGACTTCACAGCCCGCATGGAACCAGGAGCGTGAGGAGACAGGGAGTCAAGTCAAAGGAGCTTGATACTAGGCCTTAACATTGGGCATTGTTGGGCTCGGCAGGGATGCACGTCGGACTCCCGATCTGTGTGGCTGGAGAGTGTAAAAGAATATACCCTTACGCATGTATATTGGGTGTCGGCGACTCTGTGCGTGTACTCGCATCTGTTTAGGTGGGTGGATGCACCAAGCGAGACACAAGCTGTAAGCTCGAGGCTCCAGGGTGTTCACCACTGCTCGTAATCCAGACGAAAAGTAGCCAAGAATGACCGACTTGTAGGCCTGATACTGGCTATCGTAACAACCATATGTCGAGGGGATAATACACAGCCCATCCGTAGGCCTCAGATCTTTTGGCGAACTGTATTCCCCTGCTTGCTGAGCCTGGTGATCACAACGGCCCGGTTTAGCGGCCGGGCCGGCCCGCTTTGGATTTCCATTCCAATATTTCGAGTCTTTGAATAGGGCCTGTTTGCTAAACCGTTAACGCCAAGGCCAATCGTTTTCAAGGGCTCAACATAATTCGCAAAGTTTCTGAAAAGACCTTAATCGCGGGGTTTCTCCGGTAGAGCAGCGATGGTCAGTTGCAAAGATACAGTCGGATGGTATCTGATCACCATCCAGGTTGAATAAGGACAGAACACTACAGGACGGAGCTTCGACAGGCCATTACGACGCTGAATATGGAATTTGACCGTAGAATCATAGTTTAAGGCAAGGTAACTCTATGACTCTGAACCGCCCAATGAGCAGCGAGCCTGGAAAGCCACAACCAGATCTGGCGAGTTTGAGTTTGAACCAGTCACCTGGGTTGCTGCAAATCATGTGTCTGAAAAGCGCTGCATGGAGCCCCTTCACAAGTGACGGGGAGGAAGCGCGTCCGATCGTACCTGGAGCCAATTGAAAAAAAAATGATCTCAAAGCCCACAAGAAGCTACGGTACATGTCGGCATTTCGCCAGGCTCGATACCGATTTCGACCTGGAGCATTTCACATTGTCTAATGTGCAAACATGCGGTACGAGATAATTTCTGGCACATCATATTGGTTCTCTGACTTTGTGTCATCTGGACTGTCTGCATTCCGGCAGTGTCTTTGATCGAAAGAGCAGCTTTGAGGGGAGGGATGTCGATGGCTAGCGTTGTAGCCATGTGGGGAGACAATTGACAAGCAGGGGGGATAGGGAGAAAAGAAAAACTCAGGACCTTGACCCTAAGCGATGAAAATACTTAGGTAAGTCTAGCCTAAGCTTAAGGGACTCTTTGCTGGGTTTATTTTAACGCCCTATATCAAGGTCCGGTGTTTTCTTGTCTCCTGAGGGAGGGGGCAGTCAGGGATCAGTGGTTTCGGGTGGGTCTTCCTGTACGGCAGACATGTTTCCATTGTCGCCGCATAGATGCCCATAGAAAGCAATGATTGGCCCCAAGCAGGATCTAAACCATCCATCCCAGGGAGCTAAGATCTTGTACGGGCACAAGATACAAACGACAGATGCTTGCCATGCCATGCTAGGCTTTCAACGATTGCAATGGGGCTGAGGCTGAATGACCATGGGAAGTCGCACGTTGATTTCGATAGGGGAGGCGCAAATCGAGCAGGTCCCTTCATCAGTGTCCATGATGTGGTTGGTCTCGAAGACAAAAATAAGGGTGTGGGCTGAGGCCTTTGCTTGTTCTACAACCCTAAGACAGCGTCGCGGCAGTGTAGAGCGACAATCTATAGACAACGATTCTTTTGAACATCATCTTGATAAGGCTCTCGACAAGCTCGCAAAGGTGCATAATCGCGGAATGGTTAGAGAGAGCCCAAGTGTGGTATCCATAGGAGGAAACGAGCGCGCAAAACACGACAATCCCTAGTCAGGGCACGATAAAGGCGATGTCCGAGACATCATGCGGCAATGAATTGGATCTGAGTCTGCGATTCAGCGCTTTGTGATTCGACGGACGCAATTGACACGCCTACTGTAGGTACGCCTGTTTAACGATACTGGGGTCTAAAATTGAAGCCCCTGCTCCTCTCTCTCTGTCAGGGTCTAGAATTCGGTCGCAGACTCAGGTGGGTTTGTAAACACGTCACGACGCCGAGGAAGCGCGCGGGTGTGAGGGTAGGATTGATGAGCACCATTGACATAGTGATGATGGTTTTTCTTCTCTTTTTTTCCTTTTCCTCTCTCTTCCCCCAAAAGTTGCCTGTTTCGACAATCGTGTGAAATGACTTGTGCAGTCCCACGCAGGCGAGGTCTGGAATGCATGTAAAACACTTGATGCTTTGCGGTAAGAGGGAGAAATAAGGTGCCACGTGCATAATTACATCAGCTTGAGCTGAAGGAAGTGCAGGTAGCGAGAGCTGCAGGCTGCATGAACATTGGACGTTCATCCCGCACGAACTGAGTAAGGGGATATCTCGTTAATCTTGGCCAGCTCATCGCTATTGATAGGTGGGAGCTGTTCGAGGCGGAGGAAATGTGCCGCAACCACAACAGAGACTCGGATCGACGCATGGCGCGGATTAGGGTCAGGTTCCGGGGCCGGACTTCAATCGTTCATCAAAGAAGGTGGATGGAGTAGATCTTTCGGGTGGCTGTGATGAGCATATGCATGCGAATGCGGATATGTGATGTGATGTGATACGTATGATGTGCTGTATGCGGGTGTAAATAAGTGGGTTCCACCAGCCGGTGTGCCTGCGGTAGCTTGCAGGTGGATAACTCGACATTGTGTTTTGTTATTGTTGTTGTCGGGCGGATGGTGGTATCAACGTTGGGCCGTCGTGTTGTCCTTTTTTCCCTTCGTCTTCTGAAAATGAGAGCGGTGAAGATAAGACATAAGGCCAATAAGGCAGGCCAAGTTGGTCCCGAAAGTGGCCAGGTGGGAACGCACGAGAGGAGGAGGCAGGTACTAAAGATCCATGAAGGTAAGTACGGAGAGGGAAAGGGAAGCAAGAATGGACAAAAGGGAACATGGCCAGTAGCTACTGCTAGGCTACAGGTTAGGCAAGTCAATCCCAACAGACTCATCAATGACTTCCATGAATATGTAGATTATACATGATAAGTATAAGCAAAGGTTATCTGATAAGTTGAGCCTGTTTATGCGTATAATTGTGCAGTTTGAGTTCATCCTATCTCATCAACTTAAGTGCTTGTCTCCTCATGTGTTTTGTGTGTGATTCTAGATACATGGTTCTTGAAAAGTTTTGACGATTGGCTCCCAACTACCTACTAACTTGTGGTACTACTCCGTATCAGGGCCGCAATAGTACTTAGGTACCTAAGTGACACTGCTTACAAAGCCTTCCATTGGTACAGCCTTGACTATTCCATTTAACTTACCATTTTACCTTGCTCTTTGCTAAGCTATATATGTATCTTGAGCAACTTGCAGTTATATTCAAGTTGCAGCCCTGCAACTGTTCTGTCTTCGTGTTTGTGAAGAGGCTGACCAATAGAGGGTGTCATCACCGTGTCTTTTATTAGGCTCCCGCCATTAGTGGGTGTAGTTCGATAACGCTTGCGCTTAACCTTCATACAAGCTAACCCAATATGTCCTTCACTCTCCACTTTGATGGACTTCCCCTCAACTCCAAGTTTCATGTCGAACTTTAGGTTGTCTCACGACCCAAATACTCACATCATCTAATTATCTTACCTTCTTTAAGTGACAGCTGCATACCTACTATCCGCGGTATAGCACAATAATTATTTTAAGTTGGGCGCAGTACTATCAGGGCGTATAGCTTGAGGCTCACCAACCGGCTGAACTACCTACACCTTTCTTAGCGCCCTACGCGTCATCAGTCAATACTTTAGCCTCAACCTTCAAACCGTCGCCCTCGACGGACAGAGTCGCTCCAACACATCGAGCCACTCCATCTCGGGTGGTTAATAACTTCGACGACAACAAAGTCTCGCTGGCCCCGCCGCAATTTCCACCTGAATTGCTGTTTCCTTTCTCGATATTGTGGTTACAACCGACTGACCAGACCGGCCGTATCAGCGACCGCACTTCTTACGCGCCGTGTTTATCCCTCGTCGTGTATTGCCTCATCGCCACTCTGTATTATTCACCGGGTTCTCCGTATCCTTCTTGTTTGTGCGGAAGTCCATCACCCACCAAATTGTCCGTCGGAATCACGCGCAGCAACACTGCTAGGTCTTTGGAGCCTCAGCCTAGCTATACATGTGACGATCACTCGACACTTGCTTGACACCTATGGTCTCTCGCGTCTTGGTTGCGTTCTGCCGTCTTGCCGGACCTTCGCGGACTTCGGGCCTGCTGGGTTGACGCATTATACCAATACCCCCATCCTCACACCCTTTCGCAGTACCCTTTGTTGCAAATAGCGCCGAGGGTAATTACTTAGATCGTCATGAAGCCTGTTGCCACATCGCCTGAACAGCTCACCTCACAGGTACATCGGCTGTCGTTCGCTTCACCCTGCCTCGAGAACGCTGGCTGTTTAGCTCCGGGCGAGGATGTCAACAGATCCTACCCTGCGATGTTCGTGACCACTGATGCCCGATCTGCAGCCAGCCCAATCGCCCCCAGCATCCCGCAAGAGGTAGCCTGCCTGAAATTTGCGGCTGGTGACGTTTGCCCAGGCTCATCGCTTAGGACAAGCGCTGTCTCCTGTATCAGGCTGCAAAGTGCCCTCCTTTCGCCCTCCCTCGAGGACCTGCCAAACGAGGTTTTGTTTCACATTATGGGTTTCCTGGACGTCAACGACCTTCTGTCAACGTCGAGAGTAAGTATCGACTACCTACCGTTAGCAAGAATAAAGTCTACATTCCCATTGACATACCGGAATCATTCATGAGACCTTGAATCGGTCCCGACAGCCCGAGACCTTGGGAACACAGACTGATACAGATTTAGACGAGCCATCTCCTTCGCGATATTTCTCAAGCCCCTATTTTACACCGTTATCGGCTTCAGCGAGCCCGAATTAACCTCCCATCACGCCTATCGTCACCATCTCGTCCAACACTGGCTGATCTCATTGCTCGTTCAATCTTCATGACAAATACTTCCATAGTTTCTCGAAAGTTAGCCCGATCCTTGGTATCAATCAGGTTGTCTCGCCGCTTGGCAGCCAGACCCTCGGCCGCAGCTCTGGTTGAGCGTTCTGTTTTACCCAAAGAGTGCGTGCCTGGTATGACGTCAGTGCATGTGGCACCAGCAATTGTTGCCAAGAAGAAGGCAATTGAGAAAGAGAGAGTTAAGGACGGGTTGCGACAGTGGATCGCATCGAGATGGAAGCGTGAAGTCAGAGAGCGCCAAGATGGCGTAAGAAGATGGGAGGAGAGCCGCGGCATAGGACGCGTGTGGCGCCTCCGTAGGTTTTGGGAAAGAGTTAGTCGTGGCGAGGGGCGAGACAGTGCTTGGTAAGTCAGTGATATCAACTTCTATGAGGTGAATCGTTGTAAGGCTGCGTGTGCGATCATACATGAAGGACCATTATAGTTCGGTTCTGTATTGGTCACAGTTCTGGCAGAGAGACATCAGCGGTAGTAGTGACTTTCGTCCTGTCGGCAGGATTACTTGTATGATACATTATGTACGATGTGATGATGTTACAAAATCGACGAACTCCGTTATCAGTACTGGGCCATGTGGGCGATCGGCGAGCCCTCATGAGTGGTTTCTTTCTATCATGCAGGGTTATGCACAAAGTCCCTTTGCTCAGGCAGTGCGAAACCTGAAACCATCCCAATCATCATCTTCTTCGTCGTTGTCCTCATCGTCGTCCTCGTCCTTCTCTTCAATAGCTGGCGTGTCCAGATTCTCTTTGCCCAAGCCTGTAGGTTTTTCAGTGCCATTTTGTTGGCTGAAGCTTTCACCACGTTTCCGCAGGGCTTCCCTCTTGTCCTTTAACCGCTTCACGCGAGCTTCGAGCTCTTCCATTTCTTCAAACTCCTCTTCAAGCGCACGGGTTGCTTCCTCCTTTTCGTCTTCGAGATCGACATCAGCTTGAGCGCGTCGCTTCTCGGCCTCCTCCTCCTTCTGGGCATCGGCGGCGGCAGCTTCCTCTGCCGTCATGGCTGGGGCTGATATAGTCGCGTCTTCATCGTATGTGGCTGTTGTAGCAGCAATGTCGGCCTCGAAAGCTGCCCATTCTGCTTCATCAACCGCTATTGCTGCGGCAGATGTAAGGCGCTCGCCTGTAGTCAGACTACTGGCTTGGCGTGAGGGGAGTGATGCAGTTGCAGATTGTGAGGTCAGGTTATTAAGCTGACCTCCTGGGGTAGAAGCGGAAGAGCCATCTCGATGGGCTGGTGTTGCTGGTCTCGATGGGATTTGGATCTCAACCCCTTGTGACGGTGTAGTCGACGTCCTCCTAGTCAATCGAGGTGGTGTCAAAGTCTGATCCTTGTTATCTCCATCTCCATCTCCATCTCCATCCACTCCATTGGCCTTATTTCGTTTCCGCCTGCCATCGTCCATTTCGACATCTCCGTCTTTATCGTCGATAGCCTCCTCGTTATCGTCGTGTTTCCGTTTTTGCGAAGTCTGTTGTTGTGAAGCTCGAGCGTTGGACGATGTCGCTGTTTGAGATTTTATTACACGAGTTTTGTGCGCTTCTCCTCGGACATGTGAGTCCCATAACGATTCGGTCTTGATGTGCTCGTGGCAGAGGGTGCATAGGAGTTTGCCCGCATCAGAATAGGCGGCATATGGGTGTTCGATACGGCGAGCGGCGCGCTGTTGCCGCAAAAGAGAGCGTACGTCGGACATGGAAGTAGATGAAGATGAAGAGCTGTGATTCGTGACGTAGAAAGAGTGTGGTAGCTGAAGAATACCACAGGTAGATAGAGCAAGGTGTTGAAGTATACGAGCTGGTGATAACTCGCGATTCCAATTGGGCTCAGGAGATCAAGAGAAGCTGCCTCATAAGGAAGAGGACTAGAGAGAAAAGACGAAGGTCGAAAAAGAAAAGAAAGAAATGCGTAGTGCTTATGGCGTTGGATGGTAGAGCTTCAAGGTCGTCAAAGGGTAGCAAAGAGGTGTGAGGTGAGCAACCGCCGACGATTAACCGGCGCAAACCGATCTTCACCTGATTTCAGTGAGAGGGTCTACCTTTATCTAATCTTGTCATTAACTGTTGGCGGTATCATCTTCGACGGTCACATGGCACGACACGGCACGACCCTGAGTGATATTTACCTTCTCAAATCATTGAGACTTGCTGCATTAATACATACCTAAATAGGTAGCCAAGTTCCCAGAAGCTTTGACCGCAGTTGCATCTACGTGGATTCCAACCATCCCACCAGAGTCTCACCACCCCACCAGGAAACGTCCACTTCAAGGGACCGCATACCACCCTGGTCTTGCTATATCTGCTGAGTCGCCTTCTTGACGCGGCGTCTTATTTTCTACTCATACAACTGCCTATGATATCGCGTTATTAGGGGATCCTTCTGCAAGAGCTGAACGATGGCCGAACAACAGCAAGAGGGCCATTCGCTCTCATCCATGTTCCCCAATCCACCGCCCTTCTGGCAAGACTTTACAACAGATAAGATTTCTCGGATTCAAGAATTAAGGACTTCATACATCGCGGAGCATGGTGGCGATCCTTTGACAGTCCGCGTGCCTGGTATTCCCGAAGATCTCGTCAATCTGCAACCTCCGGCTGAGCCAGCCGATGGACGTTGGCGTGTATTTGGCGATCAGTACATGGTAGGTTAAGCGATTGCGATTATTCTTACAAGATGGTTGGCTAAGTGAGGGTGTAGCTGGACGACAAGCTTCCAACTCTCGAAGACCAAGGGATTACCAATCTTCCCTCATCATCACAGCCCGAGTCCAAGGATGCTAAGCGCTTTGATCGCGCCTTTGAGCTCAAACGGCTTGCTAAATCGCTTCTATTAAACTTTCTCGAGCTCTCTGGGACATTATCGCATAATCCATCGCACGCCGAAGCAAAAGTGCAAGACTTGCGCACACTCTTCATCAACTTTCACCACATCCTCAACGAGTACCGGCCACACCAAGCACGCGAATCAGTCATTGCGCTCATGCAAGAGCACCTAGACCGCACACGGGCTGAGACCATGGCCATACGGATACAGGTGGACAAGGCACGCCGCGTACTCGATGGTTTGGGCAGCCTAAGCGTACCAGATGTGCCCAAGGCTTTAGGACAGAACACCGAGGAGGAAGATTTGGATGCGTTGGCGAAACAAAGAGAAGCAGACGTGTGGGCTGCCACAGATGCATTATTTACTTGAGGGGGTTTATTGGAACAAGCCTCAGATATTGCCCACAACATCACATTATTATCAAGGGAGTTGCAAAGATCAACTTTCCGACAAACGAGACAGCCTTCCCACGTTGGGCAGCCATTTCTCACATCATGTTCTCCGAGATTAGTCCCGAAGGATGATCGCAACTAGAGTTTTGGAGCGAGGCGAATCTCATCGCAAAACCTTATAAAATGGACATTTGGAGAGTTACAAGAAACAGGATTAACATCAAGATCGAGATGTTTGCGATACGGAGCAAACCTCAACACATATGCGCACACAAGTGCACATGCATCAAGCCAACTTCGGGTTATCAAAAGGCGGTCATAAACTTTGTCTGAGTCTTCGATTCAATATACACTCTTCAGCTGCGCTGTGTTTCCCAGCAGCATCGCAACGCAACGCACAAGGGACTATAAAAGCTCAGTTCTCAAATAATAAACCCCCAACATTGCTGCCTCGCAACGCACATCGTCATTCGAACCCCCTTTACAGGATGGTGCAGGGGATACAGCAGCATTCGTAGTCGCCACACTCGATACACTTGGTTTTGGTGCCCGTGGCCTCGGAGGGCTTGATGATGGACTCGGCGATCGAAGTGGCAGCGCTGCCGGGACCGTTGCGGTCGTAGAGACACTTGGAGGAACCGCAAGCCATTTTGGGAAGTTGTCTGGAATTGATACGGGAGAGCTTAGGGCGATCTGCAGTTTAGCTGGGTTAGCGACCGTTCATCTTGAACTTTGATAAGTTGATGCGTGGGAATAGAGAAGAGAAGAAGAGTATATTTAGGTCGACTTACCGATACGATGACGAGGCCAGTGAGATTTGGGGGTTTGTTTAGAAGAATGAAGTTCCAGGTTTCAAACTGCAGCACGAGTTGGAATTGAATTTCAAGCTTGGGCGGCAGCTTGGACCATGCCGACCTATTTTGGGCTACAGCTGTAACATGATTGCGTCACCAATCGGGCCAAAGTGTGGGAGAGTGGGAGTGTGGGAGTGTGGGGGTGGATTGTGATTCAACGTGTAGACCCTGGATTTGATCCATCCCTCTTGGCAATATTCCCTGAGCTCAGCCTCCAATGAGCCACGGCAATGATGAAGCTTTGGCAGAGAATGTATTCCGAGTATGCTACAGAAATCATTAACCTGCCCCTCTTTCTGGAGACGAACTCTGAGGTCGTCTATCAAGATGGCCAGAACTCATGTCATGGCATATCGAGCTGGGCTGCCCGAAGAAGCACTGAATCAATGTGCAGTCAAAGTAATAGTTAATAAATAATAATGTCTCTCAGAGTTAGAGATACCTAGTAGTATATCATGACTGATAGGAAAATCAGAAGTTTCACCAAAGACTGGGGTCAAATGACTATGCAGGCGAGTACACTTTCTTATCACTGGCTAAGAGTCCATGCTAATGTTGGTGTAAATTCAGCTTGGATGGGCACCAGTTTAGGAGAGCGATGGTCCATTCATTGTCTCCTGGGAGACCCCGGTTGGAACGAACGTCATAGATCTATACGATACCAGAACTCAAACTGGCCATGCGGAGTTTGAAGTCCAGAGCATGACCTGCCTGCGAGAAGTCCAAGTCTATTTTCTAAAGAGGTATGCACATTCTTCTTCGGTCACTAAATGACTTCGACAGCCAACACTCCTTACGTACGATCCAAGTCAAGCATCAGGTGCCCTCCTCTATCTCGCATAATTAAGCACGCTGAATCATGGCCTCACGGTCAGGACCGGTGCCGATGTACTTGATCTGCTCAACTTTAGCAATTGCGGTGCAGGTTAGTGTGCGTGTTTGCCTACCTTGACTCCAACAAACTTCTCGATGTACTGCTGGTGGTCAGTGCCACTGTTCGTTATGCTAGCCCGGGGAATATGCTCACCTCGACGTAATCGCGGGCTGCCCTAGGAAGGTCGTAGTAGGTCCTCGCGTTGGTGGTCGGCTTTTGCCAGCCTGGCATCTCGTGGTAAACCACCTCAGCTCGGTTCAGGATGTCAAGATCCGCAGGGTAAGAATCCAGTTCCTTTCCAAATGGTCAGTTTCCACAATCTATCATCATCACCTTGTTGGCATCACTGACCTCTCCATCGATCTTGTAGGCAATGGCGATCTTGATTGTTTCGAAGGTATCC